CAGCCAATCTTTTTTTCAGTGTGGTATTCGTAGTTGGTTCTTATTTCAAGACCGTTTTAATTAAGTAATATCTTAAGACTCTGATGCGGCTCTCTGATTCATGACTAAACTTAAGACTAAACTTAAGACGGTCTTAGATATAAGAATTGATTATGAATACCGGCCTAAGAAATTTTTGGCAACAAGTAGTTTCAGGACATGCAACATCAACAAATTATTGATGTAATAAACAAACATAAGGAACAGGAATCTGTACGAAGCTATTATAATACCTTGTAACAACAAAATTTAAATTTAAAATTATGTCCTTGATTAAAAAGTTTCTCGTCAAGGACATAATTTTAGATTTTGTTGTTACGAGGTATCATAATAGCTTCATACGGAACCCGTTTCCTTTTTCTTTTTTATATATATTTTTTATTCTTATTAATCAGATACGTTCTTTGCTATTTTATCTTCGTGTTATTTTATTGTCACGTTTCCTTATGTTTGTTTATCACATCTGTAAATTGAATATCAATAAACATTTTATTTATTTACGTGTCTATCTATCTATCTACGCGAGTATCTATTTATCGGTGTTTATGCACAAGGCCATTGGCGTCATTCGACGCGAAATTCGTTTAGTATAAGTATGTACGATAAACCACGCTCATGATGACAGCGATCGCTCGAAACGTTCGTAGCGTAACGTCGTCTTAATTAAAAATATATCTATTGCGGCGACTTGGTTACGTTAACATTAGAAACACGAGAAGTCATTATTGATCGTTTCTATTTTTAAAATTAATCCTATGTTTCTTGTATAAAAAATATACGCAAAAAGATATTTTGCTGCTTTATATACGAGTATACAAGAATTATAACTGTTTTTTGTATCTGATAGAAAATTATGTATTATACGCATAGAATTTGTAGCACAAATCTAAACTCTATCTCTGTCCTCTATATGATTAGATGCAATACATATCCAATATCCGGTTGCTAGAAATTTATCTATTTTAACTATTTTTCGTACTTACAATTAGATAATTTTCACTATAACTGCAAGATCACTTTTTTGAGTGTAAAATTCTGAAATT